TATACAAAATTGGGAATAAAAATATACATCTTGAAAATTATTCTGAGAATTAATAAGAATATGAAAAGCAGCTAGTACACTGAGTGACACAAAACAGAAACTTCATAAAAAGCAGTCCTATGTGAAACAATCTAAATCTAAAGAGGAGATAAGCAATTATACTGTAATGAATGATTTTTGGCAGACACATTCATATCCTTACTTTTTCCTTTTATTTATTATCAATTTAGAAATCTGTTCTTCTTTCTCCCACATTAGAACAATGGGTAAAATGCCAAAGTCAGCACTTTCTATTTATCTTTTAAAACCCTACATAAAATATTTTATGTACTATACTATTTCTCTTATAAACTTTGCTGCTAATGGCTCTCAAGAAATCTTATAATTACACTCCATAGTACTTCTCACAGTTAAAATTGAGTACTACTACGATCATCTACTTAATTTCTAACTTTTCCACTAGATTGAAGTTCCATAAGAATCTTAAGTCTTGCCTAAGTATCTTCATTACCTTGCATCATAGACATTCAATAAATAATTGCTGGGTGAAAAACTGAATGATTCCAAAATCTCATCTTGCATCCTCAATGATTCAACCAATTTTGCTACTGGATTTTTCCAAACAATGTCATATCCCACTTGGAAAACTGCCTTAAACTCACTCTATCAATATAATCCAAACAAAACTAAAACATTTCCTCCCCCTTTGCCAGACCCTTTTTGTACTCCCAACTATCCTCTGAACACTAAGATTTAAAACCAAGCAGCTAAAAAATAATACAAATAGTTTTTCTCTGTTCCATCAATCTGTATCTGAAGAATGAGTGAATCCATGACATCAATGGCTCAAAACATATCTTCATAACCTCGGTTGAAATTGCTGCTACAGAGTCTAAAATTTTGCTTGTGTTTCCTATCTCTCCCCTCCATTATTAGCTTATTTTTATGAAAAAGGTCAGATCCATCCCAATTCTAGTCAGGAATGGTACCTGTTATGAATAAACATTAATTAATCCTCAACAGCATGATAATAGTACATTTTAAATTACATGTAATATCCATTTCTGGCTACAATGGAACAGACCAACACCTCTGTTAGCAACTAAAATAGCCTGGGAAAAGTAAAAGGAATCAAAGAATTGCTAAGCTAACTGGGACTTGAAGGGCCAAAGTCCTAAAAAAGAGAAGAGAAGTAAGCCAACACTCTGAAGCCATTTTCCCCTGAGCATATTTATCAATTCTGGGCACAGGGCAAGAAGAGAATGATCTGGGCAAAGGGCCCAGACAGAGAGTGCTATGAAGTAGCCAAAAAAATAGAAAAAGAAGCAAACAAACAAGAAAACTAGCAGCATTTTTGGCAATCTCTTGAGGACAGGGATAAAAATAATGGACTTGAAGGGTCAGAATGTGGTAAAATGGTAGGACCAGAGAACTTGGCCTCATATTCTGCCAATTTTCCCTCAAAACTTCTGATCAATCCTTAAACTATAGGAGACAAGAGGGTAATAAGCCAAACTGAAAAACAAAGGAAAATATTCAGAAAGCTCATGATACTCAGGAGAGATTAATTAGAATTAGAGTCTGTGGGTGGGACAAAGTCCAAATGAATACCCCTGACATCTCAGTGAGAACCCTTGAAGAGATACTCTTAAAAGCAAGGCAGACAAGAGGTAGATGGAGCCTTGCCAAAAATGGTCTCTAATTGAGAGGTAAATTGGTCTTGTGGAGAAACAGAGTATAGAGTTTAGAATCTACCAAAAGAGAAATCACAATGAATATACCTGGCTTGTGCTTGAAAGGGGAGAAGGAGAAGAGATTGACCCTGTGGAAATAACAAACTGTTCCGAACTCATTTGGGCCCCATGGCAGTTATCCCCAACTCTATCTTCCCAGCAAAGGAAAAGGGAAACCCACTATGGGGGAGGGGGGGAACAGTAGCAAATGGAGCCTCTCAACATTTTTATGTGCACTAATACTGAACAAAAACTTATTAGGTATAGTACGGCAGCCTGAATAAACAAGGGCAAACACTGAAAAAGTGCCAATAGGAGAAAGTGATCAAAGATTCATTAACTAAAATGTCCCCAAATTAACCTACTTCCCTTATTCCTCTTTTACCAGTTTCTTTGGAAAGAATTAAGTCATTGCCTTATTGAACTGAGGCAAGATTTTAAGCAAAAGGAAAAAATAAAAAATAAAAAGAAGGCAACACATTAACACATTTGAGTTCAAAGCAATCAGGAAAATTCAACAGCATGGAATATAAATTTCTCCACTTTATTTTTAAAAATCAATTAACAAGTTCACTGGTCGGGGAGAGGTTCCAGTGGGAGACACAGAAATCTAGACAGACATTGAGGGAAGATGGTAAGTCGCCAGCAGAACGTGACCTGTAGGACTCTGAAGTTTAAAGAAACTACACATAGGTAATAGGAATAGGTAAAACTATAAAACCAGTTATAGGCTTATGAGTCAGCCTGTGGTTGTTCAAGAAAATGGATGAGCAAGAGGTGCATTCTTTGTTATTCCTCTTACTTCATTAAACACATGACTACTTCTGTTCCTCAAACCATTTTTAAGAGATTCCAGCAGCTAAATTCAGTTCCAGAAACAGTTTCTGTAAGTCCAGATTTCCACTCAAGAAATTTCTACAGGAATGAGTTTTGAGGCCCCATATCAAATATATAAACTTTTGAATGTATTGGTTAATAGCTGACTCAATTAGGGGTGTTAAAAGCAGAAAACTAGTCTATCAAAAAGAAAGAGAGATTAAAAAAAACAGAATTTAATGCAGTAATTAGAGCTATTCAAAATTAAAGAGATTCTCTCATCAGAGTACTTGGCATCATAACAAATTTAAGAGGGTCCTGATAACACTCTAGAAATAAATACATGGAAAGCATCAAGATGTGTCATGCCCACCATAACTGAAAACGTGTAGAACCAATGCCTTCCAATTAGAGAACTCTGGTAGAGTTGTTTTGATTTTATTGGGGGAGTGGGTGAAACTTGTTTGAGATGAGGAAGACAAACTTTTTAATACAAAATGTTTTTATGGAACTTGGTAAATATATAAAAAATCTGACGTCAAACTACAGAGAGGTGGCAGATGAATGGAGAAGACTGATTAATCTCTTTGAGGGGAAAAAAAGCAAGGACCACAAAGGATCATTCACATTTCGGACATGGAAGAAAAATCTGAGCCAGACTGAAAATAATTTTTGTAAAAAGGAGAGAAAGAAAGAGACAAAGAAGTATCCAGGATGGTCATAAAAGACAAAAAGAGATTTAAGAAGGAAACACTGACTAAAAGTATCAAATACTAGAAAAAGTCAAGAACAAAGACCAGACTTGTCCAAAGGACATAAATGTCAACTTTCGTAAATGCAATTTTTAAAAAATATATTTATTTAGTTAGTTATAGTTGGACACAATGCCTTTATTTTATTTATTTATTTTTATGTGGTGCTGAGGATCAAACCCAGGGCCTCATGAGCACTCTACTGCTGAGCCACAACCCCAGCCCTCATAAATGCAATTTCACTGAGAATGTCAGAATAAAAGTCAGGCTGTAAGAGATCAGAGACAATTAGATCTTTTTATTTTAAATACCACTTGTTCCAAAAAGTATTCCAGTAACTTTACAAGAAACAACAGAAAAATAGCAGAACAGAAAATAATATTTGCATACAGAAAGATATATCATATATCCAGCTCTACAGTGGGCCAAAAACTTGATCTTGAGCATCCTAGGGGCCATGTCAAAAACAGCTTAATTAAAGTATTCATATTGTTCATTAAATAAAAGATCAGATATTCAGAAGTATGACTTCTCTAACATCAAAATGGAAGAAAACTTTCATAGTTTCTCATGAAGACAAGGCTGAAACATAAAAAGCAAGACCACCAAACAAAATCCCAAATGCAATTCACAGCACTGTTTCATTTTTCATTCCTTAATGCCAATCAATGTCATCCTCAAAAGTAACTACATACGAGACCAAAATCATGATGATCAGTTCTAAGATCCAATTTGGAAAACATATACAGTAACTATTAAACTTTAAGCAGTCAATCCATAGTGAAACACTACTAATTATAATCATGATTTTAGTAAGGTTTTAACAGCTAAAAATTGAAGTTGTACTTTTTAGCAAGAACTCACTGTTTAACTTCAGGGCTCCTAAGTACAGATTTGCCAACTCTATTAACCAGAAAGACTGTAAATTTAAGAAGTACTTATAAAAAATTTAAAAGTCTGACTAAAGTATATATAGATTCTCTGRTTAAAATGAAACACTTTTTCTAAAATCATATAAAATAAATTCAGCAACTGAAAATCAAATAAATCACCACAGATCTCTTTTCAGGTGATAGATGAATGAAGTTTTAGCAACTTGCATACCCATCTATTGAACTTGTTTTAAACTTTTTATTCATCTCTTTTTTCAAAAAAGCTACATGATTCTTCTAAATCATACCTGCTAAAATATACTACTCAAATTACAAAAGCACTTAAAAATTCATGTGTGTTTGTATACACACATACACGAAGTTAAATTTAGAAGGCCAAATTGTGTATTAACCAAAAATAACTAAAAATATATTTTGCGTGTATCTATATCTACACATAACAAAAATATTATAATTTTTCTCTTTCACATTTATCAGCATCACTTTTCAACCATGGATAATTTACTAACATTTAGAATAATGCTATATGTTCAACAAAAATACTGCTAAATGTTCAATAAAAATACCTATTCATATAACATCTTACCATGTATATTAAAATGTCATGTTTTCCCAAATGACATTTTGCTTTGCAGGTCAATTTTTTAAAATATCCCCCCTTTAATTCATAGTAACAATAAAAATCAGATTCTCTGATTACAATAAAACACTTTTTCTAAAATCATATAAAATAAATTGCTAAAATGGAAATATGTTAAATTGAAATGTGTAAAACAAAGAAATTTTTAAAACATATGTAGACATACTTATCCCAACCAAGAGTTCCTATCTCTTCAATAAGGCTTGAATAGAACTGAGGAGGAGGAGGTAGTGCACATAACTCTTGTCTATTCCTTAAAGCAACTTCCTGTTTAAAAACAATAATAATCAGTTGTGGAATGCCAGACAATGAATTGTACCTGATTACAAAACATGAATTACAAAAACATGAAATCTTCTTAGTGTCTAACAAAAGTGTTCATTATTTTATAGAAAATCTAGGTGACCCATTCCCCTTTACATGAAAAAGTTAAAGGAATACAATAAAGGTCATGCAAAATGTCAATTTTTATATCAAGAAAAGAACTTAAGGTTTTAATATTCTCCTGGGCCATTATGCCTATCAAAGAAAAAAGATTTTAAAAAATACTCATCTTCAAGGCTTCACTATCTTTCTAATCCCATGCATATGATGTTTGATATAAAAAACCAGGTGCCTTTAAACAAAAGGCTGAACTCTAACTATATTAACTAGATTGATATAAATTACATCTTAACAAACCTGCATTATCACAACAAATACCTACCTGCAAATTTCTTTCATTGATTTGTATTCAGTATTACTCTAAAACCTGGTAAGTATGRTATTTTGTTATTCAACTAGCTAGATGACAGTCCCTTTTCCTTGCGAGGCCCACTTATGAAGGCTTTAAAATGGTTTATGAATTAAACTAGAATGTAAACTTTTTAGAAGCAATGCAAACAAACTAGAATTGCTGAGGCTAAAAATTACCAGTGACTTTGAAGTTGCCAACCTCAACAAGTATCTCATATGAAAAGTAAAAACATATATAGCTACAGTTACTTAAATATTCATAAGGTCAGGATTATCAAAAGATATTAAAAGTTGAACACCCTTTATGTGAAAATTCAAAATCACAAATTTTAGTACCGACCTGACACCACAAGTGAAAAATTCCAAACCATAAAACTTTGTTTCAAGCACAAAATTATTAAAACTATTGTCTAAAACTACCTTCAGGCTATGTATATAAGGGATATATTTGAGTCTTTATTTCACTTTATATTTGAGTCTTCTCCCAAAATATTTTACTGTGTATATGCAAATATTTCAAAATCTGAAAAAATCCAAAATCTGAAATATTTCTTCTCCCAAGCGTATCAGATAATGGATGCTCAACCTATATAAAAAATAAGTCAAATAAAAAATTAGTCACAATAGCAATAATAGATGAGAACAAGCTGAAAAACTATGAACACTTCTGGTAAACATAACCACAATAAAAATCTGAAAATTTTATTCCTTTAAGTATATGTTTTAGATTAAATATAGATTATTATTTGTCCTTATACTTTTTTCATTTAACAAGGATAGGATATTATTAAGTTGAGATAATACTAGAAAGAATAAATTTTACAAAAGAGAATTTCAGAATTAGAACTATTAACTGAAACTACTTCAATCTAATTCTGAAAAAATTTAGGATGATAAAACGATGAAATCAGATCTGTAAAGCCAAGAAATCAATATGGATTTAGAGAGTAAGCTGCTAAGAGAAAAGACATACACTGCCTTTTTTATGACCTAAATGTCTAATATTATCTAAAAATAACTTGGTGGTCCACAAAATTAATTTGTATGATTAAGATTATCCTCCACTTGTCACTGAATGAGTTAATACAGTTCTTTGAATTAACAATTACCCAATATTTCTTTTGAAGTTTTTTTAATTCAGAAATATTAATTACTAAATATCCATAAATATTGAAGATAAAAATAAACTTGGACAATAAAAATGTATTTCAAACCTAGGCTTATGTCATTTGCCTTCCACTGTGGGTCAGGACAGTTACTCCTACTTAAGGAACCTTAATAGAAAATAAGGCAAAGGCAGAGAGACAACCACTTTTCACAAAGGGGACAAAGGGACTTGGTAGAGAAGATTTAATATATATACTAAATTGCCACAATATGCTCAGTTATTACTAGGAAATCCATAGGAGATTTACAAAATTTTCTGAATAAGTTCAATAACTACTCATTTCATTTGGGTACCACACTTAAGACCTCCAATGTTGATTATATCCTAGGAATTCTACTACTAACAACACAGCCTAATAAATAGACTAATAATTCTTACATATTTAGGTATAATATCTTGAATGAGCAATAAAATGACCTATTTTACTGATTCATAAAGAATGATAAAATATAGGATCTCCTTTTTTATTCAGAAAGGCAGCACAAATATACTAAGTAACATGCTGTAAATCAGAAATAAATTTTAATATCTCATCTTAAAGTAATGTTTCTTCAAAATGACATGACCAATAGCTCTATTACTTACAACTCAATAAAGTTACTTTTAGGAATAAGAATTTAATAGTGTATATAGTTTTACTCTGGTTCCCTCAGACCTTATATTTGTATAACATTAAAATTATTAAAAAAAAGATAGAAAAATTTCAAACTTTTTTCCAGTGTCAAGGGGATACAAAACAAATATGCTTTACTTCTTCATCTGATCATTTTTAAGGTTATTATATCATGGTCTTTGATGACATTTATAATCAACTTTGGGTTTAAAAATTCATAATTTGAAATTTAATTCAGAAATTAATTTTATTCTCTTTATTCTGACCCCAAGCATTTTTAAGTTATACCTCAGAGAGTTATTAGAAGGATTTTTTTTAAATGACTCAAAAAAATCTAGCAACTAAGTTTTCAACGTGTAGCAGTTGCTACAAAAAATGAAAAAGTCTCAAAGAAAACCATGAAAAAATATCCAAGTGCTTTCAACTGTTAGAAGCAATATAGGTATTATAATTTTGATATAAACAAATATAATAATAAACATGTATATGGAGAAAAAACATAACAAGTAAAGCATAACCAAAGAACATAATAATGCTAATATCATCAGAAACCAATATTTTAAAGTAAAAGACACGCAAGCATAAAAACAAAGAAGTAAAAACTCAGTGCCAAATCTGAATTGGAAATAGCAACATTAATGGATAATTAATTGTAATTAGTCTAAAATGTATTTTTCCTAGCTTTGTCCACTGAAAGAGTCTAGAATTAGTAATATCAATGATTACTTCACTTTCCAGTCACAGCATCCCAATACCATTTCACACATACACACAAAAGAAATCTATGGTTTTGGAGAAATGTCTAATTACAGTTCTAGAGTAAGATGAGTAAATGAAGCTAGAGCATAGGAGGTTTGGTTACATTAAAAGAACTGAGAAGCCAACATGAAGGCGCTTACACCAACCAAAAGTGGGATAATTTAAGCATCAAAAAGAAAATGAGTGCAGTGCATAAAAGTTAATCGAATATATAACAACTCATGAGTTCATAATGACACTAAAAAGAAAAATCTTTAGCTCCCTGTAACAGTTGCTAGGCACCAACTCATTATTCTAAAAATTGATCTTAAAAAAAAAAAAAAGGAAACGAAACAAGCACTTATCCTATCTTCTAGTACGAGCTGTACCTCAAATTAACCGAATAACTATTGAGGGTTCTTCTCTACAGAAGATTTTCAGATAATAAATGCAGATGACAGAATTATTTTTAAAATATCACCATTTGTAAATTCTAATGAAATAGTGGATTTAGGCTATTATTAATACGGATGCTAAAATTACTCTGTGATAGGCTGATGGGAAACTCTGAGATGGATCTAAATCTACTGATCAATCTTTACTAAAAGAGAAATTATGGGACATCATGTAACTCCTAATGCAATATAAGTACACAGCACCAAGTATGCTTATTAAAAAAAATGAATCCAAATCTACTGGGACCTCTAGATCTAACTGCCAAATTACAAAGAAGATAAAAGTTGAGTACTCCTATTCTCAAAATGCTGGGGATAAGAAGTGTTTCTGGATTTTAAATTTTTTCAGATTTTGGAATATTTATAAATACATAATAAGATATCTTTAGGATGAGACTGAAACTTAAAGAGAATTTATTTATTTCATATGCACCTCATGCACATAATTTGAAGCAACTTTTTAAAATATTTAACAATTTCTGCAACAAACCAAGTTTCATAGTGTGAAATTTTCCACTTGTGGCATGATGTCAGCACTCAAAAAGTCTGAGCTTATGGAGCATTTTGGATTTTCAGTTAAGGAATGCTCAATCTATAGAAGACTGTTAAAAAGAATCCACAAGGGCTGGGGATGTGGCTCAAGCGGTAGCGCGCTCGCCTGGCATGCGTGCGGCCCGGGTTCGATCCTCAGCACCACATACCAACAAAGATGTTGTGTCCGCCGAGAACTAAAAAAAAATAAATATTAAAAATTCTCTCTCTCTCTCCACCCCCCTCACTCTCTCTCTCTAAAAAAAAAAAAAAAAAAAGAATCCACAAATGTCTAACAAACTAAATCTATAATGTGAGAAATTTTATACGACATATAATTTGGTTTATTCAACAAGTAGATGACATAAGAGAGAAAGGGTAAGATGAAGGGGAGATATTACTATAAATTAATTATCATATAAATCTTATTTAAGACTAAAGACATTAATATATTGTGTGGACCTTATTTGGATATTGATGCAAGCAAAGCCACTATAAGGAATTATTAAGTTCACTGAGTCTTCACTGAGTCTCTTCTAAAAAAAAAAAAAAGTAGAAAATATATGTAATAAAGGTTAGATTACAGGCTCATGATATTCACTATAACCTTCTCTCCTCTTTTGTTTATGTTAAAGACCTGTGTAATAAAATGATTATAAGTAAACAATGCCTACAAGATAAACTAAATAATCAATTATTTTATGCAAAATTAATTAACTGACCAAACACCTATTGTTTGTAACTGAATATATTTAATGAAGTCCAACAAGTTTTTCAGGGATCTGCAGCTACATGCAAAATTATTTATGCATCTTATTATATCTTTAAGTATAATTATCTAATCTCTCCCTAGATGTTACATTCTCCCATAGGCCAAGAATGCATTTTATTTCTTTAGCATCTATTGAACATTAGTATCAAAGGTACCAAGTTTATGATACAATGAAACTGATTCCTACATATAGTTCTTTCCTTATGCAATTCAAGGGAAGTACCATTCACATTTACGCACAAAGTAAAATAAAACAGTAAACGACTGGGAGTTGACAAGTTTACATTCTAAGAGATTTTTAAAAGTTTACAGAAACAAGCAAGACTTTAGAATATGGTAACAATATTAGAAGAAAAGATTCTTACCAAAATCATCTTCAACTCCATCATAAAACTCATTAGATCAGCAGAGTGCTGCATTCTCTAAATCAAAACATTTCTAATTAATTTAATATGTAAATAAATATTCTAATCATCAAAAATGGAATAAAATATAAACTGAAATGAATGTGAAAAAATACTGGCTATGTCTGCAACTTAAAGGAATTAAGTAATAAAGTAATGGTCATCATTCCTACTATTCTTACCAATTTCATTTTGAAAAAAGTAATTAAATCCCTCAAATCTATTTTAGTGAGACATAATGAATTGTATAAGAATGTCACTGAAAACTTCACATACTCCTCTGTTCACTGCCAAGTTTAGCAAATCTAGCAAATGACATCATTATTTTAAGAAAGAGGAGGAAGAGGGGAGAGAAGGGGAGGAGGGGAGAGAGAGATGTAAATGGAAAGAACATAAAACATAAAAACCAGACAAATCTACATAACTTTAAATTTTTAATTATTATAAGGACTAACAAGTGTTTATCAACAATATTAAATATTTTTGTCATTTCCTTGACCTTAAAGACCACTTATAGTTATTTTTTGTCCTTTCACAACTAGCCCATATTAATTCAAAAGGAGATAATCATTCAATAAAATAAAAGCTATTATAATAAAAATGGCCAAAGGAAATAATCTCTAAAGTAGAATGAATATTTAGGAGTTATGGGTCCATTTCCCTGAAATCTTTCTTTCTTAAAATAGCTATAGAATAAAAAGAAAGAAAGAAAAACAAAAACGAGTTTTACATTGCTTTCTTAGAACTCAACTATCATTTTTGTGCTTCAAAATATTGTATTTTTGGTTTTTGTTGCACTACACTAACTCCACATAGTTCTTAACAAAGTCAAATATAAATCTGGTCAATCTTTTTAGATGAGAATAATAAGAATCTAGGATATTTCAACAATGCATGAAGACATACTTACATTTTAACATAGCTTTGAGCAGACATATGTTCACAGAACATAACTATACCTTTTTTACATGGTATTTCTTTCCTTTAGTTTACTACAGACAAGTAACAAATTATATCAAGGGTCTATAAACTACAGCCAGAAGCTAAATTCAGCTTAATACCTATTTTTGTTAATAAAGTTTTTATAGGAATACAGGCATAAATTCATTAGACATTCGTCTATGGTTGCTTGGGTGCTATAAGGAGGAGGTAGAGTAATTGTGACAGAGATTTATGGTCAACAAATCTAAAGTTGTTACTATTATTCTTTACAGAAATAAATCTGTTAAACCCTTGGGCCATATTTACTGAAAATGAGACAAGAGAAAAATAATAATATTCAAATGGTCTTTGACTAAAAGAAAAACTCAAACTAATACTGAGGTCTATCTGACCAGCTGGAGGGCAGGGAGAGATAAGTAACTGACATGTTTTCTAGAAAAYTTGTTGGTCAATTAGTAGAGGAAAACAGAATTGTACATTTTACTGTTATACGTAGCCTGTATTGACATTTTTTTCAACACATCACAATAGATTAATTTTTTAAACTTCAGTGTATACTACAAATTGTCATGGAAATGGGGGGACAGTGAAGAACAGAAATTTAAACATTCCATTAAGAAAAAAAAACTGCTGTAATTATTCTGCAACTAACACAGCCTATATTCTACAAAATAAGTAGTTTATCTCCTGTATTTCTTTGTGACTCAGTAATGCTTTATGTGAGTGATTCTCATTGTTGGTTATCACACATAACTTTCTTGTAAGATAGAAAATATATAGGAAATAGGAAAAATACAAATGGATAAAAGAATCAAAAAATGCAATTCTACTAACATTTATTTTTCTATAAGAGACAATTCATTATTTTTAGTTGCTTCAATAACATTATGGAGTTTTTTGTTTGTTTATTGGTCCGTGGTTTTTTATTTTTTATTTTTTGCTTTGTTTTGTTTTGTTTAAGTTTCTTTGATTATTCAAGGAATTTTCAGGTACAGGACCATATACATTAAGAATAACTAAATTAATCCTGCCTGTATCTCACCTTGGCTACCATTTCTCCTCTCATTATGCAAGTATACCTGATCCTAAGTGATTTCTCTCACACCTTTTCTGTTGCTATTCTAGAGCGAAAAGATTCATTTTTGTTATAGATATGCTACAGCGCTAAATGGGCCCAGGGTTTTTTGTTTTGTTTTGTTTTTGTTTTTGCTTTGTTTTGTATTTTTCCTGTCACCACTATTCAGTCTCAGGAGGAAAAAAACAAAAACAAAAAAACATCACCAAGAAAGCAACAAACACGAATAGGGGTGAATCCATTTGAAGGGCCCAATGGCTCAAGGATGAAAATCAGTTTCAACAACACAAATGCTACCTGGGAATCCGCTGAGGATTCCAGAAACCTTTTTATTTTGTTTTGTTTATTTTTATGTGGTGCTGAGGATCAAACCCAGTGTTTCACACATGCTAGGCAAGCACTCTGCCACTGAGCTATAGCCCCGGTCTTCCAGAAACCATTTTGTGTAATGTATAGATCCTTAAAATACTTCATAGCCAGAGATGGAACCTAAAAACTTTAGCAACTATAAAACCACTTTGTTATAACATTCTGCAAAGCAGGATTTTTTTCCATGCTATTTAATTGGTGTATTCTCGAAAACTTGTTGGGATTGTTACATATTTGTATATGCACACAATATAATAATATAATTTAGCAAATATTATTCCTCAGTATTTGCCCTTTCCCTCCCCCTGGTTCCTTTCCTATACTGATCTCCCTTTGATTTTCATGAGATCTCTCCACCCACCCACTTTTATTCTCCTTTTTCCTCTCTAGCTTCCACATAAGAAAGAAAATATATAACCCTTGACCTTCTGAATTGGCTTATTTTGCTTAACATTACATTCCTAAGTACTATTCATGTTACTACAAGTGACATAATTTCCTTCTTCTTTATGGCTAAATAAAACTACGTTGTTTATAATATATACCACATTTTCTTTATTCTTTCATCCACTGATGGGTCACCTAGGCTTGTTGCATAGTTTGGCCATTGTGAATTGTGCTGCTATGAATATGGGCATGCATGCATAGCTTTAGTACACTGACTTTAACTCTTTAGGATAAATACGAAGGAGTGGTATAGCTGAGTCATATGGTGGTTCCATTCCTAATCTTTGAGGAATCTCCATACTGATTTCTATAGTGATATACTAACTTAAAATCCCACCAACAATGTAAAATTATTCCGTTTTTCTCCACGTCGTCTCTAGCATTTATTATTGTTTGCATTCTTGATGACTGCCATTCTGAATTGAGTGAGCTAAAATCTCAGTGTAGTGCAAAGCAGGGCTTTAAAAAGTAAATTTAATACTTTCTTATCCTCATTTAAAGCATAAACCTTTAAAAGACTTACCTGTTGGACTATTTGATGGTATCCATTAAGTATAGCTTTCAACTGCCAACTGCATAGTAATCTAAAATTTTAACAAAACAAATGGTTTTATTCATTGTTCAGAATTAAAATAAGAAAATTTATTTGTATGCTAACACAAACATGCACATATGATCAAAAAATGACATAAACATAATTCTGACAAGTTAATAAAATTTTACCACTTATACTGTTGAAAGTCTTGTCTTCAAATTGTCAGTATTAATTTTACTTCGAAATATAAATAACCACAATCAGTAAATGACAGGCAAACAGTACATCTTTTTAACTTTAAATTACCCAAAGCAAAGTTTACTATTGCACTCAATTCTTAAAGGTAGGTTAAATAAAACCAAAGGTTTTGAGTACATCAAAATTGTATTTAAAAAAACATATACAGCAATATATTCTTATTCAACTTCCAGATTAATGTAACCGAAAGAATACATACTTTGAACTGTATAAGTAGTGATAAGTTAAAGTTCATCTATCTACTAGGCTTACCTCACCTGCAGGTAAGTAATTTCTCTAAGGAATTATATTAACTTGCCTTCAACTTTTAAATCCTATAGGGACTCCATCTCCTTATGCAGAGCAGTTTATTCAACTGTCTATGGATAACATCCTCTCCAAGTATGCACTGGATTCCTTGCTACTACATTGGTCACTTCATTAATTATCTTTTTACCTTTGATAGTCTTAACTTACTCTCTGCAAGTTTTTCTCCTTAATGAATTAAGTATATATCATCTTGAAAAAAAATCATAGCTCTTCCTTAAATGCACATGCCTTCCTACCCTCTCCTTTTCCTTAAAGTAGTTTATATTTTCCATTCCCTTTCTACCCACTCATCCAGTCAAAACCCCAACAACCCAGTTTCCTCGACTGCACAAATCTATTCATATCTAACCTCATCTTTGCAACACTCAGCATGGCTAACCATTCATTCTTTCAATCCCTATTTAAAACCTACTGTTCAAATTTTCCTCTTTTTTTGCCAATCCTAGTCTTATAAATTCTATAAATCCCTCCCTCAAGATCCCATCACTGGCCTTCTCTTTTCACCCCAYAGACACAGAAACTAGAAAATCTATTAATACTGATGGCTTCAACTTCTATGCCAACTGTGATTTTCACATATAACTTCACTCCAAATCTCTCACTCAGATTCCACACCAATATACTACTACTACTTATTAAATAGCTACTTCTGATGTTTTACACTCAATATATTCCTAAAAACAATCTCCCTTCCACTTTTCCATCTGTGATCTCTTCGTAAGCTTAATAATCTGAGCCAAGAACTTGGAAAGTATCCTCTAATCTCTTTCCCTCTTACTGCCACTTCCAATCACTCACAAAATCCTATCAAATCTACACATAAATATCTCTGCATTCCTTTTACTCCACTCTACTCCAGAGATATTTAGGAGCAGAATACCTAGTCTCATCTTCTGACTAGTCGTTTGTACCACCTGTCCTTATTTATACATAATTTATAACAGAACTAAACTAGATTTTTGTCACATTACATTATTATATCACACATAAATACTCAGTCTAAAGTTGGGGGGGGGAATTTCTAATCCTTTTAAACTTCTATTCAGTTCTTATTAGGGCAGTATACACAATTATTGTTTATTGCTTTTAAAAAAATGTATTACCTCTGAAAAGTACTTAAGTAGCAAGGAAATTACTTACAAATGACACTGGTTTCAAACAATCAGAAATGTTTTAGATTTATTGATAGGATTTATTGGTAAACATATTAGACAAAACTCTAGTCACCAGAATCAGTTTAAACACGCTTGCCTATTCCACCAAGATACAAGCATGTAACTAAACACTACATCACCTTGCATTCTTCACTTGTAAATCTTCAGGCAACACTATTCTAAGGTGGAAGTCTTTCCCCTATAGAGAACATTAAAAAAAAAATCACTCAAAGTTTCATCTTTTACTTAATGCTAAGAGAAGTTAAACTTAGAATCACAAAAAAGGCAGTATTTTCCAAAAGTTATCAAATTTACCCAAATTTTTTATACTTAAAAAATATAAGCAACAGAATACAAGATTTGGGGGAAATATTTCATAAATGTATGTCAAAAACTTTGGAATTATTACAAAATCAAAATAATATATACTAGGACCTTGTTTTTAGAGAAAGTAACTTAAATACAAGAAATTCAACCTCAACACTGTTAGCAGACATATAAAAGAAATTTAAACGTTCTTAGGAAATAAACAAATTCCCTCAGGTTGCTCATGATTGTACTTACTTTCTAAATTTTCATAAATATATTATACAATTTAAATATTTCAACATAAAATACTTCCATACCTTTAATAGACAAAAGCAGAAACATATTGTTTATTTTAATCTAAGTATTCACAAACTTACATATTTGAATATACAGAATTTTATTCAACTTTCTTTTTAAGGAAAGGAAAGAGTGTTCTCTGAGAAATATATTCAGTTTTACTTTCTTTAGAAAGTGAATGGGTAAGCAGTTTAAACTTTATAACTTAAATAGGATAATACATGTGAAATTTGAGAAAAAAAATAAGCAGAAAAAGACAAACAGAAATGTAATCTTTTGCTTCAACAGTATAAAATGAAAAGAGTAATAAAATTTTCAAAAAAAAAAAAAACAATTACCATGTGGAATTTTAGCAGTCTCCCTCAAAGCAGATTCAAAAACAGAAGAACACAATTAAATGTACCCCATAACCTTTACTTTCATGGTAATATTACAGTTCTGACTTTCATTACATTTAAATGTCCTTTTGAAAAAATGAAACAAAATGTACTACTGACCTTTTCAAAGGTCAAGTAACAATAATTCACTATTTCATTAAAACACTAAAAGGTATTATGTAGCAACTTTAACCTAACTTTATAGACATCCCACACATAGGTGTAAGAACCTATGTTCACAATTCACAATTTACCTGAGGAACAGTATAAGAGTAAAATTCCAAAGTTCTCTATTTGTGAAATCCAACTATTTTAGAGGTCAAACGATGTGTCACATACCACAATACTTTTCTGGTTCAAGAAAATGTCCAAATTTAGACTTTTTGTAGTTAAACCACCTGAAAAAACATTAACTCTTCCCCAAAAGCAGATTTTCCAAGCTTACAGGGAACAGAAGATTAATGTGAACACAAAAGTCAAAGAAACAGTCTTGCAGAAGAAATGATTTAAAAGCAGAAGACAATAAAAAGGTAGGTAAAAAACACCTTTTGGAAACTGGGCATTAGGAAGGAAAAAAGACTGGAAAACTTAAGCTCTTATATGAGAAAATAAGAACATAACACTCCCCTCAAAAGTTCCCGCCAAAACCATCAATTAAACAAACTGCACTTTTTCTTTACCAGTAAATAGTGTATTATTGAACTAGGAATTTTATAAACCATTGCACATAGCCAAAATGTTAAACAAATAATGTTTCCATCAATCCAAAGTTACCATGAAACAAAAACAGAAAATGAGGATCAAACATTTCAGATGACAGACCCAAGAGAAAACTCAGACTAAGATAAGAAAGTGGTTTTTTTTTTTTAAAAGGAGGAATGAATAAGCTATTAACATGGGAGAATAAATTTTAAAAGTGTCCAAGAAAAAAAGTTAAATAAAAATTTCATAAGGATTAAGAAAAAGCAAGAAAATTACCAAATGAGAAAAAAAAGTAAAGACCATCAAAGAAAAAAGGGTTGAAGATGAAATCAGGCAAAGAAAGTCCAAATGCATATAATTGGAACACTTAGGGAAGAAGACAGGAGGAAAAAATATTTAAAATTATAATCCAAGTATACTTTCTGGAAATCCACATAACAAAAGCGACAACTAGACACAAGAAAAATGACTCAGAATGATCCACTCTGAGATATATCTTAATAAAGACTTTTAAAATAAGGCAAAAGTTCAGTCTTTCTAGGAAAAAGGTCAAAACACTTACATGGGCAACAAAATAAGATTGTTATCAGTCATCTCAAAGCAAGATTTAAAAAAAATTAAAAAGAATGAAACTAAAATTTTAAGAAATTAAAGTGTTTCTGCTTCTAAGCATGATGAAGTAATGGAGGCGAGATTTACTTAGTCTACCTTAATTTAAAAACAGGACTAAAAATATGTAAAAATGGTTTTCAGACATTAAACAATAGGCAGCACAGGACATTGTTCCTTGAAAGAAGAAAACAAATTAAAAATCCTTATAATTGGCCAGCCTTACTCCCTGAAAAATATTTAGGCCACAGGTAAGGATGAGGAAACAAAAAGCTAAACAGCCTCCCTAATCTGAGAAGAGAGGTAAAGTTAGAGGAGGCCAAAGCATGTAGAATTCACAAGATAATTAAGTACCAACAAGAAGAGAGATGCAAAGAGAGAGACAAGCACACACAGAGAAAACTCCCATGTACTTCAGAGAATTTCTTATGTGGTAGACTTCAGCATGGATGTGAGAAAACCATTTAAACTGAGAACCATAAGAAAAGAGGATGTAAGTATTCTAGGAAATAGTGTATAAGCAGAATATGCAGAAAGGTATTGCCTCACTGATACAGTCAAATTAAACTAAATTCTGTTCTGGTTTTGCCTAACATAGCTTAAAAGCAAATCTTGAAACGATTAAACTCTTTCCAAGTAATTTAACTGTAATGCACAACAATCTAAAAAATATTTAGAAAACAAAAGCATCTAGCATGCACCAGGTAGATTTCATATCCGACACCAATTAAGATATATTAGGTATGCAAGGAAGAAAAAATAAGAATCATAATGAGGAGAAAAATCAAGAGAAGCAGACACAAAAATAGCATAGATGATAGAACTGGTCAAAAAATAAAACAGTTTTATTTCATATGTTGAAGAAGAAAGAGGAAAGCATGATCACACTACAAAGAGGCAGGAAAGATATAAAAAATCTGAATTAATGAAATGAAAAAATAYAACATCTGAGACGAAAAATATGCAAAATGGTATAAACAGCACATGAAACCTCGTAAAAGATATTAGTTTACTTGGAGACATAGCAACAAAATATATCCAAAATAAATCAGGAAGAGATGGAAGGGAAAAAAAAATGGAACCAGCCCCACTTGGAACTTAAAGTGGCTTAATAGGCACATAAGTATTGGAAGTCCCCAACACATGAGAGAGGAAGGAACATATTTATAAAGAAATAACAGCTAATGTTTTTTTCCAAATTAATTGAAAATATAAACTCACAGATCAAAGAAGTTCCATAAACTATATTGGGAAAAAACATGAAGAAAATTACATCAAGATACAACACAAATTAGCTGAAACCAGTGATAAAAACCAGAGGAAGACAATATACAACAATATATAGAGGACAAAGCTAAGAGCACAGACCTCTCATAGGAAGAGTGCAAGGCTTAGTCGAACATCTTTATAGTACCAAATCAAAAAAGAAAAAAAAAAAAAAAAAAAACTCTGTCAACTAGATTCTACACCCAGTGAAATTATCTTATAAAGGCCAAATAAGCACATTTTTCGACATAAAACAGCTAAAAGAATCCATCAGTAGCAGACATGTACTAACCTGAAATGTTAACAGAAGACCTTCAGGAACAAAGAAAATAAGATGCAAATGTGACTGTATAATAAAAAATACCAGATACAGCAAATATATAGGTAAAGATATAAGATCTTTTATTTAAAAAATATATTTTAGAGGATAATGACTTAAAAAAAGGTGAACTGACTGTTGCAAAGCAATTTGAGCAATGAAATAGTATTAGTTTATAAACCAAAATATAAAATAAGTGCCCATAATTCATACTTGTGTAAATAAATAATTTTATGAAAAAATAAGGGAGAATAAACAAATTTCCCATACAGCATTTCAGATTAATCATAAAAGGGAAACTAATTCCCACTCTTTAAGTTGGGACTGCTTATAGTTACTTCTTTTCAGAGAGTATAATATTAAAAAGGGAGGAAACAGTGACTACAGTCAAGAAGCCTGACAAATATTACATCAGCAAAATGATCAAGGCCAGGATCAATCATCATCACTGATATTAATTGACTGTACCCTTAATAAAATGAAATGGTACTTTAACTCTGTGATCTTCCTCTTAAAAACCTATAAACTTAACTCAGGAGAAATATCAAACAAATTCCAATAAAGGAATATCCTATGATAGATCTAACTTGTACTTCCTCAAAAAATCAAGCCATTTCATATTCATAAAGGAGTCAAGGTCATCAAGAACATGAAAAGCCTGAGGAAATGTCATAGCCAATAGAAGCCTAAGGAGATACGATAACTAAATGTAAGGTGGTATCTTAGGTGGGATCCCAGGAGAGAGGGAAAAAAAATAGGTAAAGGTAAGGAAATCTTAATGAAGTATAAACTTAAATTAATAAATGTATAAATATTTTTAACATCAACCAAATCATTAATCATTAATTACAACAAACACACCATAGTAATATGAAGATGTTAATAATAACAGAGGGCTGGGGATGTAGTTCAGGGGTACAGCACTTGCCTAGCACACTCAATGCCCTGGGTTTGATTTCCAGGACCAAAATAAAGAAATAATAGGAGAAACTATGTGGAGAAGGCAATGGTGATAGAAATGCAGTATCACCTGTTAAAATCTTTAAATCTAAAACTATTTTTAATTCATTAATTAAAATAATCATCTAAACCAAAATTAATAACCACATTGGTTGGGCTGGGGATATAGCTCAGTTGGTAGAGTGCTTGCCTCGAATGCACAATGCCCTGGGTTCAATCCCTAGCAACACACACGCACACACACACCACACACACACACACAAACACACACACACACCACACACACACACACACACACAATAACCACATTGGTTGGATTATAAGAGAAAGTATGTGACAAAAGCACAAGGACCAGCAGATAAATGAAACTATACTGTCGTATGATACTGGGCTGGTGGTGTGGCTCAGTGGTAGAGTGCTTGCCTAGCATGTGTGAGGCACTGGATTCGATTCTCAGCACTGCATATAAATAAATAAATAAATAAATAAATAAATAAAATAAAGGTCCATCAACAACTGAAAATATATATTTAAAAAAAAAGTACACTGTCACAAGATTTCTTAGGGAAGTGGTATACATGAAAGCAGATGGTGATAAGTTAAAGATGCATACTGTGAGCCCTAAAAAAACACATACAAAGAATGAGGGATAAAATCATATAGCTAATAAATCAATTTTGCATATAAAATAGAATCCTAATATTACTTTAAGGTAGATCATGACAGTTTTAAGATATATACTATAAACTTTTAAGCAACTACTTACAAAAACAAAAAACAAATACTTCTATGGCTTTGGTAAGTCCCCTGAAATTCTTGCGTTGGAAAGTTAATCCCCTAAATCATATATTAATAGCCTATGGGAGATAATTAACAATTACAAGAGGCCAAGAGAATTGAGCCCATATGATGCCATTAGTGACTTGATAAGAAGAGCAACAGAGACCCAAGCCAGCAATCTTGCTCTTAAAACCATGTRAAGTTCTCTATCATGTAAAGATGAAACAAGAAGGCCTTAGCCAAAGATGATAAGAGGCCAGCATCATGCTCCTGACTTCTCAGCCTCCAGAACTATTAAACAAACAGCATTCTTTATAAATTATCCAGTCTGCAGTACAAAGTTGTAGCAACAGAAAACAGTCTGACAAACATATAGTAAAAAAGCTAACAAAGGAGATGAAACAATCATAAAAAGAATGTGCATGTAAAATGTAAATGCAGAAAAAAATAAGGAAAATAAGGAATGTAAAATGCAGGAATATAAACAAAATAAGGAATGTAAAATGCAGAAAAATAAGGAAAAAATAAAGAACACATTAGACAAAAAGAAAACAGAAAAACAGAATATTTAAATCCAACCATATCAAAAATCACATTAAATGTAAATGGTCTAAGCATGCCCAAGTAAAAGGCAATGATTGTTAGACTCCGTAAAAAAGCAAAGTCCAGAAAGAAACTCACTGTAAAGATCCAAATAAGTTTAAAGTATGGAAAAAGAAACTAAACCAAAGAAAGCTGGCATCACTATATTTGTATCAGAAAATACAGATTTCAAAGAAAAGATTATTAGGAATAAAAAGGGTCGTTTCATAATTAAAAAGAAATCACTTTTCCAAGAGTTTATGCCACTAAAACTTTATGTAAATAATAACAAAACTTCAAATTATGTGAAGGACAAACTAATAAAAATGAAAGCAGAAACTGAAAAACTGAACAGGAGAAGAAAAGTGAAGGTACTAAGAAACAAAACTGACAATAGTACATTTTTCTATTGTATGCATGTACAAATACATTACCAAGAAATCCCACTATTATGAATGATTATAATGTACCAATAAAAATTTTAAAAGTAAAACAAGAAAACTTACTAGTTGGAGATTTTAACACTCCCTCAGTAAGTGATAGAACAAGTAACATAAGCAATATTATGCAGGTCCATGTGATGCGAACATGAGGCTCCCTGTCAAAAGCAGAAGACTCAAGCTACTAGCTGTATGAATGAATAATCTTGGAAGCAAATCTTCAAACTATTCAACCTTTGAATAATCAAAGTCATCATCTTGGCAAACAACTTTCTTGCAAGTTCGTGACAGACTCAATCAAGATTTACCAATTAAATCGATCCCAAATTCATGATCCACTAAAACAGAGATGATTAGTGTTTGTAATTTTAAACCACTAAGGTTTGGAATCATCATACTGCAAAAGATAACCAATAAAAGAAGTATCATCACAGATCCTAAAGACAATAAGGGACTATTATAAATAATTTTAAGCTCACAAATTTAAAAACCGAGATGAAATGAACAAATTCTTTGATGAACACAAACTACCAAAACTCATTCAAGAAATAAGAATCTAATAATAGAAACTTTCACCAAAAACATTTTAAAACTTTCTGATAAACAACTCAGGGGTTCAAAGGAATTACAAATAGAAATTCCATAACTTCTAAAAAATTATGATGAGAAACACTACATGTCAGTATATATAAGGACAACATCTGAAAGAGTGGGGGGTGTGCTTCTCCTCCCCTTTTCTCCTCCCCCTGCCAGCTGTTACCATGGAGCCCAATTGGTAACTTTCCTTATCTTAGAAATGTAGACATTTCTGTGAAGCCCAGTTCAAGGCCAGAGGACTTATGTATACATTTCTACAAACTACTATACTGGATAAATGTTTGTGAGGGGTGTCCAGCACCTGGAGTGCAGATTTCTTCCAGGCTAGTGGCCAAGTAAAATAGGGCAACATGAAAATAGGGAGTTTATCTACATTGAACTCTTTTGTAGAGACTCTTTTGCTGACAGTCCTAAAATCAGCCCTGGTGAAAATTTCTGGAGAAGCCCAGTTAAGATTGTGTGTGTGTGTGTGTGTGTGTGTGTGTGTGTGTGTGTGTGTGGAGGAGGGGTGCCACTACAACATGACAAATTTAATTCAAGAGTTTACATCAGAATAATGGGGAATGAAGGAAGTATAAAGTATGTAATTATACATACCATTAACAATATTTGAATATGGACTCTAGGTTAGAAAAGGTATTATACCATAATTAAATGTCCTGCTTTTAGTAAATGAACTATGGTTATATATAAATGTATGCCTGTTTTTTATGAAGTGTATGCTTAAGTATTTAGGGATAACAAAAGAGTGTGTCTATGGTTTAATTTCAAATGGTTCAGGAAAATAATGAGTAGATATGCTCCCAAAAACACATTCCACACTCAAGAATAAATCAAATGGGGCAAATGTAAACTGATGAATTTTAATAAATATACTAGAATTCTTTGGTCACCCTTGCTACTTCTCTATAAATATGAAATATGCAGAAAACATTTTTAGACAAATAATGTTTAGATTGATATAAACATGCTGCTTAAACTGGGAGCTTTGGCCCACACCTTTAACCCCAGCTATTCAGAAGGCTGAGACAAAAGGATTGCAAGTTCAAGATCAGCTTAGGCAATTTAGGAGGACTCTGTTTCAAAATAAAATTTAAAAAAGGCTAGGGAATGTAGCTCAATGGTGAAGTGCAGGCCTAGCATGCAGGAGACCCTGGGTTCAATCCCCAGTAGTCCTAAGTATACAAATATGAAAGCTATTTAAGGAAAGTACAAATTAGAATTGTAACTTTGGGCAAAGGTCATTAAAAATTTCATCCAATTCTGATGGCTGCACCTTTTCTAAAGGATGTTAGCAGATGCAGACACATATACAAAGTATTTCCCTCAAAAACTGCCTAAAACTAGGTGTAACAGGATTCCTTTAAAAAATAATAATTTAATGCTACTTTTTCCAACTTTTCTAACCCCTGTATGAAACCAAGTAGTATTTTTTTAACTAGTTAATTCAACAATTGAGGAAGGAACGGTAGGTTTTTCTTCCATATGTAATAATGAATTTTAATCTCTACTTTCTGTGATGGTCACATGAATTTGAAAGCAAATATAATCTTTCACTAATCACAGAACATTCTGATTAATTTCATCTTCTGAAACTCCTTGGGACAATTTTCATTTTGCAAGTGGATTTGATAATGCACTCAATATTTTTTGAGACAGGTTTTGAGAACATTTAAAAACATAAAGTAATTGCTAAGATATCATCCCTCTCCTTAAACAGTTATGTATGCTGTGCTTGGCTGGGAGGAGTGAAGGGGACAGGAATGAGTGTCATGTTCAGAGAGGAAAAGTCCATACTCAAAATCCTAACCTAAGACATCTTCCTACAACGTGAAAGGAAAATATACGGGATTGGAATCAGCCTGAGTTTAAGGGAAGGTGATGCAAGATTGTGGACAAGTTTTTCAACTTGTCTCCCCTGATCTGATTTCCTCAATTATCAAAACCAGAATATTTTTCTGCCAGAGGGCTGAGGCTTGAGACATTGTGCCTGGAAAACGCTCTACAAACTTCAAGACCTTGCACGAGTTACTAGTGTAATGAACTCCGTATGAGAATGCTGGAATCGGTACAGGTAATTAATTCCTACAAAACCTCGCAGCTAGAGGTGCTCAGGTACCCCGGACTCGGCAGAGGAACAAACTGAGGTTTTCCCCCAAAAGGAACCCAAATAGCGGGGGCTTGTGGGTGACCAGCACCGAACGGAAGGGGGAGGCCGCCTGGCGAAGGAAGACKGCGAGAGTCCGGCTTCGGGGAGCCGCTGTCCCACCAGCGTCTGGGACCCGTCCCGCGCTGTCCCGCTGCATCCCCTCCAGTCCGGGTCGCTAACCCCCGCCCGTCGCAGACTCCGGAGCCCCGGGCGCCGCACTGGAGGCTCTATTAGCGAGAGTGCAACAACTGGGCGAGTACCTGAGCCGAAATGAATCCCTCATACACAGTTTTCGCCCGGTTCTGGGGCAGAAACAGCGGGAACTGGCGCAACAGGGTCCCCTCCATTCCCGCCATGGCGCCACAACGCCGGGCATGCGCAGTTCTGCCGGCGCCCGCTGGCCGGGTCCCCGCAGCCAGTTTGGCGGGAAGAGCGGGACTTCAAGGGCGGAAGTGAGCATCCAGGCCCCTGAGCCCCATCTGAGCGCCTGGAAGAAGGCTCTCAGGCCTTAGGTCTGGCTGCTGGGGATCCTTCTAGTCTTAATTGTTCAAAGAAGCTTTTGGTGATTTTATTTGCTTTTATTGAAAGACTGCTACAACTTCTGGGTTGCATTTCCTCCAGCACTGATGGATTTTACAGCCTGCATGTTGGACCACTTAATGCACTCCCCTTCTTCGCTGTTGTTCTCATTCAAGAGTGTCACCTGTATGTCCTCAGCATGCACTATCACTTATTCTGTATATAATAATAAATTATAATACATTTAAAATATCACGTACATTGCAGTATAGTTCTATGCTTTACCATTTTTAATCAGGTATTATATTTGAGAGACACATATAAATTGCTGAAAATTCGAGTCAAGCTTTCTCAGGAACCCCAACAGGAAGTCCCTCCTTCAGATCGGAATTCGTGCACTTCCCCAACCAATGGGAACTCTCCAGGAGTCCCTTAGCAGGCTGAGGTKGACAGCAGGGGGGTCTAATATCCATAAGAATGCAGATCTTAACATAATCATATCATCTCAATGGCTTGCTGGTGACACCTTTCAACAAAAAATGCCATGCATCATACTACTTGGCTATGGCTCTTAGCAAAGAAGTTTGCTGAYAGATTAGATAAACTTAATTTTTCTCTGACAGCCCTTCCTATAGGTTTTTGTTGTTGTTTTGTTTTGTTTTGTTTTCCTAACTCAGGAATGGGATCTATTCCTTTTTACTAAGGGCTGATTAAATAAGAAACTTATTAATATTTACCATATGGCTATTTGATATTCCTATTAGTAGTCCATGCATYACATTTTCGAGTCCTGCTGTGTGTCAAACATCATTATAGTATGTCAATGGTTATGCAAAGATAAATAAAATACTCCCCTTCCATCTGTACTGCCCTCAAATGAAATTGGACTTTGGAGGATTCTTTTTCATTTTCAGTACCTCAACCCTCACCACCACCAGGCTTCCCTGATGGCAATTCTACCCTTTCTTCAACATCATTCTCAAATKCCACCTCTTTTTAGAACTCTTTCTTATTTTCTGAAAGGTATTGCTCTATATATGTGTTAGGTCCTTAGGCCAAAGTAACTCCATTTTGAAAATCAGCACCTGCCCACCCAGGCATGACTTTTGCTTAGGCCCACCCCAAGAGAGTCCCTAACTGCAGAAACCACAGYAAAGATGCAAAATAACAATCAAGGGATCAGATGGGTTATTTTTTAACTACTCTAGTGTACAYGACTATGTAGTTAAGTTTTTCCAGCAGGTTGATGCGCCTTGCAGAAGGGCAGTCTGGCAGATATTCTCTGTMAATAAACTTTTGCTAGAACTCAGAGATGTGCCTCTCATAGATATTTGCACAGCTACCCTAACAATATGGTTTCTTCCTCAGTCCCTGATGATCATATTTCTTGTATTACAAACTTTATCAATAGCAAATGCTCATTTACAAATTCAACTACCATAAATAGTAATTTGGCTATGTTTTGCTTAAGAACTAACATGATATCTAGTAAATTTTCTGGGAATTTCTARGTTGAATAAGTTAATTGTGAGGATTCAGAGGCAAGGACCCAATGCTTTTTGGCAATTATCTACATTGAACAGAGTAAATGAGATGTAAGATTACAGGGAAAAGATTGCTGTCTAGAAGGTTGCCTCTCACCATACACCAAAATCTTGAACTTGACTCTTGATCCTAGGTTTCCAAGTGTGTGTAATTGTGAGAAATAAATTTCTRTTCTTTATAAATGCTTCAGTTTATGACATTTTTCTTACAACAGCCTGAATAAATTAGACTGACAAATGGCAAATAACATTTAACATTTAGCAAATGGTCAATGAACACCTACAATGCACTAGTCAAGAAACTATATGAAGACTTAYGGATTTCATAATTCGACCATTACCCTAAGGTTTTCAATATTAAGTGGTGGACACTCATTATCATCATCAATTCATACATGGTATGCTGGCGTCATTGTTTACAAAAAGCCCAATAAAAATCAACTACAGAAAATATTCACTGTATTTAAAGATCAGCCAAGGAACTACTGTTATCATCATGATAACATGATTTCCAAATTGAAATCTCTGACCAATTATATAAGGATCATCACCAAATTTCAAGCTCTTCAAGGCATCCTTAGGCAYGATTTCTTTAATACACTATGCCACAAAAGATAGTAGTATTTAAGTGCCATTAACTGTGGGAAAATATATTACATCATGGAAAAATCTCAAAACTTTTTTTTTTTTTTTGCAAGGTGGGGGAACTGGGATTGAACTCAAGGGCACTCAACCCCTGAGCCACATCCCCAGCCCTATTTTTTGTATTTTATTTAGAGACTGGGTCTCACTGAGCTGCTTAGCACCTCACTTTTGCTGAGGCTGGCTTTGAATTCCCAATCCTCCTGCCTCAGCCTCCCCGAGCCATTTTGATGAGTGAAAAGCAAAAGTTCTGTCATGGTTTGTTTACTATTCTAACATTTATGTTAACATAAGAAAACATACTGWGTTGCTAGTAGTGGTTACATTTGGGAGGGAAATAAGGTACAAAGAATAAGTATAAGAGCCAGAGGAGACTTTCATCTGTTACATTTAATTTTCTTAGTTTAAGCATTTGATACCAATGGGAAAACAAGACTTAAAAGGAGGAGGGAGAGGAGGGGGAGGAAGAGGAGGAGGAGAAAAGTAAACCAGGTCAGTGGATCAGTGGAGAGGAACTGTGGACACCTTTGTTTCCACAACTCCCAAACCTTTCTTAGATCATCTTCAGTTAGCCTAGTTGCATCTTATACTTTCTTCTACTTGGAAAATTTCTTCAGGATTTACTTGATCTTGATCTCATCAAATCTCAAACACAGAAATTCAGATCCCTGTATAGTTTTCCTGAGTTCCAGCTTTATATGGCAACAAGGGTATATATTTGAGACGARGGCCTTAATGTACCATCACCTCTTCATCTCAGGCCCCAAAGTCTATTGTCTCAACAGCTATTGTTCAAGAAGCTCTCTTAGATTTCTGTCTTGTGGCTCTTTCAGAATTTAGAATTGACAGCAASTTGGTCAGATGCATTCCTGCCTTACTTTTGGGTTTCAGCAAGCAAGAATATCTCCAGATAATTGAAATCTACGTTTGCATATGAAGACAACTTAAGAATCCTGGAATCTTCACCAGAAAGGGACAGAACTCCTTCAGGGAACCCTCTAGATAGAGTTGGCTCCATAACAGCTCCTCCATGATGTCTGGTGGTACTCATGGCAAACATCATAAGCCAGGTTGCTTAGCAGTCAACTCAGGCTTACACTTTTTGAGCTTTCTGGAGAAGCTTAGTCTGCAAAGGCCCTGCATCTGCCTATTGCTGAGTACTGCCTATTTTAAAGGAAAATTATTAGTGTTAAAAATTCTTTTTTAAAAAAACAAATTTTAATTTCACAGGTGTACTAAAATTATTTGTATTTTGTTGCTTAACTGAAGTGAATATGACCTACATAAAAATAAAGAATAGAAATCAGATATATTGGTAACATTTATAGGAAGCAAAAAAATCAATTTTCAACATCTATACAATAAAGAAATATGCCTTGAATAAAGTAAGAAAGCAAAGAAATTACATTTTTCATCCTAAAATGTCCTTCAGTTTTGAAAAATAAATAAGATTTGGTTGTGTCCTAAGCCATGCTTTTACAGACTCCTTTGTTGATAGAGATAGGACTTACTAAAACATATCTATGGACAAATTAAATAAGTAACAAATTATCTGTAATAAGAAAATGTTTGATTTTATAAATTTTTGACAAATAGTTAAATTAACAAGAGTGAATTGAATTTTGTTCCAGAATTCAAAAATGATTGTATACATATATATTTTTTAAATAAAACAATTCAATTATCTTTATAAAAATTTAGCAAGACTGGGCTGGGATTGTGGCTCAGTGGTAGAGTGCTTGCCTGACATTTGTGAGACACTGGGTTTTTGATTCTCAGCACCACATATAAATAAATAAAACAAAGGTCTATCAACAACTAAAAAATTTTAGCAAACATAAATAGTCAATATTAGCAAGTCTATGGAGAAACAAATATAATCATACATTGCTGATAGTTATTTGTAATGGTAAATGCTTTWAAAAAGTAATCTACTTATAAACATAAAATTTAAAAGTGGTGTTTTTTTGTTATTTGTTTGTTTTTTAGTAAATACCACTTATGGGAGTATATCAGCACCCCCCCCCAAATAAGTACAGAACTCTTTATGGAAATAGGAGACAATCAAATTTTCAATAAGCTAGAAATGGTTAAGTTACAGTAAAATGATTGTATACATTTTAAATTTGTTCAATTTTCTGAAAGTGATATATCTTACCTTGGTGTGCATAGTTTGGTAGAAGGCACAACCTAAATTTTATTATCTTCTATTATTCTGAACCTCAGAAAAACAGTGTAGATTCATAATGTAAAAATTGAAGAACCCCATTGAATAAGCAAATGAGTTCACCCAACAAAGATAATGCCCCATTGCCAATCCCCTCCCCAAAATAGTCTTAGTTTTTGCTTAGTTAATTTTCAACTACTCTATCCAAATGTAATTTCATGTACTGTAGAGAATATATTGAGCTCAAAACCATAGTTCTTAAGTATCCTAAATGTAACAACAATCATATCATATATGACTATGGATAATAAAGTACAAAAAAGAGTCCTTGGGAGAGAGAGGGGAAGAGGCAAGGACAACAGGGAATAACAGACTTCTTCCAATGAGCACACTCAAAACCGAGTCAAGAAACATTTTCTGCAACTAGAGAGGGGCTCTGTCTAGTCCTTATGCTTCCAGTTTCATAATTGTTATAACAAGTAAGTGTTT